TAAGTGATGAGTTTTGATTACTTATTTCCTTTGTTTTAAATACAGTTCATTTAACAGTAAGTTTATATAATTTAATTTTTAGTAATCATTATGTGTTACAGCTACCCACAAAATTTCCCCAAATTGAACCAGTACAAGCTGGCTTTGGCACACCACTGTTTGACAGCAAGAACAAAAGAAAAATGGGCATAAAATTATTGCTAAAAACCTATCTCATTCTAGCACAAACAATATTCATTCAGGGATATGTGACTCATGGAGCGGTGAACCTCACTTTTTCTGCTTAATAATTGTCTAAGTTTGTAGGACAGGTTTCACAAGTGTATACATATGTCAAACGGTATGCTTTAAATACATGTCGTTTATTTTATGTCAGTTATATCTCTATAAACAGTTAAAATTTTTGTAAAACCTTTTTTTGAATTTTATTTTATTTATTTTTTATACAGCAGGTTCTTATTAGTTATCCATTTTATACATATTAGTGTATACATGTCAACCCCAATCTCCCAGTTCATCACACCACCACCACCATCCCCCTCCCCTGCCACTTTTCCCCCTTGGTGTCCATACGTTTGTTCCCTACATCTGTGTCTCAATTTCTGCCCTGCACACCGGTTCATCTGTACCATTTTTCTAGGTTCCACATATATGCATTAATATACAATATTTGTTTTTCTCTTTCTGACTTACTTCACTCTGTATGACAGTCTCTAGATCCATCCATGTCTCTACAAGTGACCCAATTTTGTTCCTTTCTATGGCTGAGTAATATTCCATGTATATACGTACCACATCTTATTTATCCATTCGTCTGTTGATGGGCATTTAGGTTGCTTCCATGACCTGGCTATTGTAAATAGTGCTGCAATGAACATTGGGGTGCATGCATCTTTTTGAATTATGGTTTTCTCAGGGTATGTGCCCAGTAGTGGGATGGCTGGGTGGTATGGTAGTTCTATTTTTAGTTTTTTAAGGAACCTCCATACTATTCTCCATAGTGGTTGTATCAATTTACATTCCCACCAACAGTGCAAGAGGGTTCCCTTTTCTCCACATCCTTTCCAGCATTTGTTGTTTGTAGATTTTCTGATGATGCCCATTCTACATAGTTTTTCAATAATCATTAGCGAGTAACTGGCAGAAAGGATTGAGGAGTGCTAAGTTGATACAGTTAGTGGAAGCTCTTCTATAAATCTATCCTAACCTTCTGAAATTAAGAAATTAATCTCAGCTAACCATCAAAATAAAAAAGAAAGAAAGAAATTAATCTCTGCTTGTCCAAGTTCTGAGAATCTCTCTGAAGGCATCCAACATGTTTGTAGTTATTTGTGAGTTTGTGGGATTTTAAACTGTGCTCCTTGAATTGGGGATAAAAGTACGTGGATGGTGCCTACTTCTGTTGGGTATGTGTCTCTATGTAAAGTTTTCTGGGGCATAAAATTTGAGTCTCCAGATCCACAAAGAAGTCCTGACCCCCGAAGAGTTAAAAACAATCTGACCAGGCCCTGGGCCCCTTAAAAAAGTTCTAATAGGTTTTTTCTTGGCTCTCACAAAACAAAATGCAGTAGTCCAAGGTTTGTAGAACTGAACTGAAGTCCCCAATTCCCTGCACCAGACTGAGACGCCAAGCTCAAGAAGCTACGACCAATCCTGTGCTTAATGACCCACCTCCAAGGCCTCCTCCTCCAGGAAGCCTTTGCAAATCCCTCATTCTTCCCTTCTACCTCTCATCTCTCCTTCCCCTAAGATAACTTGTATTTCATCTGTCCCTCTCCTTTGGCATACATCCCTTTCTCACTCGTGTTAGAGTTAGAAATTAAGATCCCAGGCTTCAGGGTCAGAAAGATCTGGGCTGTAATCCTGGCTGTGTGACCTGGGGCAGGATACTTTACCTCTCTGTGTCACAGTTTCCTCATTTGTAACTTGGGAGTTGTCATAGTTCCCATATCATGAGTGCTGAGAGTATGGTTCTTAGCACATACCTTGCATGTAGATGTTACCCGTTGTTATGATAACAGAGGTCTACCTGTGAGAGTCTCGAGTTGGGAAGCTCCCTCCCCAACAGGTCTTCACACACAGTAAACAACAGGGAATCATGTCACTATTTTCAGAACATCTGAGAGAGTGAGTCCTTGGGCCTTCTCTCTCCCAGGATGGCACCAACCCTCTCTGGTCTTCTTTGCTCCATGCAAATCTCTCTTCAGCTCCAGATAATGACAACCTGGGGTTTCCAGAGGCTGTGGAATGTCCAGCCGCTGCCTTGCATAACCACAGAAACTGGGAACACTGGGCTCAGAAGGATTCCCCCAGCCCATTCAATCCAACAGCACTCCCATTGTGAGACAGGCAAACCAAGGCCCACACAGTGAGTCAGCATCCACAAGGCATTTTAAAGAACTCTCAAAACAGCCCTCCCCTCTTTCAGTCACCCTTTTTGCTTGCTTTGCTTTACTTTTTTTGTCTTAACACTTCTCTTACCTGACATCATATATTGATCCTTTTTCTTGTTTATCATCCACTTCAACTTCAGACATAAGCTTCACAAGAGCAGGGATATTGTCTTGTCC